ACATCAGAGTACTTAAGGCAGATCATTTGTGGGAATAAATTACCATAGACCCATTAAGAAGATTGAAATTAAGATAATTTAAATTTGCTGGGAATTTACTATATGAAAAAACACAAGGAGAGTCAAGTATGAGTTGTCATTTATTTCTCTGGCTAAGGAATGACACCTGAGGGTCTTTGGTCTGTTTGCCATGTAATGAGACAAATCGATTAATCTCTCTGTGCCTGTTTCTTTGCTTGTAAAATGATATAATTTAATGCCTGTACCTCAGGGATGGATTACGTTTATAAATTAGGGACACTGGGGGGTGTTTATAAATTAGAGACTTGGGAGAGCTTACCCTGATTCAGTGCAGCTTTACACTGTTTGTGAAGAACTTGGGGAGCGCAGTATGAAGGGTTCTGTGAACGTGCCCATGGTTTGTGCAGTACCAGTTACCTGCTCTTATTTAACACGCCGAGTTTTACATCTTGTGTATCCTCTCTCATTAAGCTGTGTAAAACACCTTACCTTTTCTTTCACAGACAGATATCTTTGAAAGACCCTTTAAAGCATTTAATTCTGTATTGACTCTCCAGAATTCAGTTTCTGCATCTTAGCACTGGGACTGCACCCTTTTTCTTCCACTGTGCGAAGAAAATGTTGTCAATTATTTTCTTTAGCTAGATTAGGAAGTGTTTTTCCATTTGGCTACTCTTTATTCCTGCTTTTCATTTGCACAGTAATTTTGTAGGCACTAGGCAGCTGCTTTTCTAATGTGTGGACTGGCTTAGCAAATAATTTTATTATGTCTGCAGAACACCAGGTTGCATTATAAAGTTTTAGACAAGGAAATCTCTTTCCTTTCTCCTAAAAGCATTTAGCTCTGTCCATGCAGCAGGGTAGCTGTGTAACTGTGAGCTGGAGGAGGAGCCCCTTTAAATAGTAAAGGTATCTTGTCAAGATTAGTTTAGGCCAGTCTGATAGCAGGTTGCTCCTGTTGACCCTCATTGTCCCTGTTCCACATCTTCCCCAGGTAATTTTCAGCAGAATCGATTCCCTGCACCCAGTCCATGGCATGGACTTACCTGTCCTGTGCAAGACAGGCTAAAGTGGTAGCTCTGAGGTACAATAAGTCATTTTTAGCAGTTATTTTAGTGGTTCCTTAGAGCAAATAGGAAACACTAGGCAATGAGACTGAAATATGTATGAATGTGTCCGCATGATCCAGCTGAAAGGATCCTCACTAAACTCATCGCTGGGCAATGCTTGGGACAAAACTAAGAGCCTGGCTGCTGGCCTGTGTCACTGTCCTCAACAGGACACCTGCAGTTGCCTGTGTACTTTTTAGTTATCTATTACTGGAGGACTGGAGGAATATTTATACAATTACTCATAGAAAAATGATGAGTTTTGGCATATGTAGCACTAGCAAATCAAACTCTCCACCTATAGGAGCCAGAAAGCAATTATAATAGCAACCTACTTGCAAAGCTGAGACTTTATAGTTTAATATACCAAAGTGACAAATTCTGCCTTTGAGAAGCTGATAGTGGAGAAATGGCATTGGCAACAGCCCGAATGTCAGGAGCTTATGAGCCTGTTGCTATTTAGAAAAATGACTCCTTTTTTTTTTTTTCTTGATATGATGGACCTATAAGTAGTAGGGATAAATAGAAAAATGTCCAGTCTTTTGCTTGCCTAGCTGCTTGCTAGGCAGCTTGCCTAGCTGCTTTACCTGTTCACTGTAGTTTTATGAATGCCTTTTCCATAGTGCTGATATATGAATGAGGTCAAATGTGTTTTGTTATTTTCATCTGGAAAGTAAATAGATGTAAGAAGGAAATGAAAGCTTTTATCAAGTCACAGCTGAGAAATGCATTAAAGGTTCTTGCCTGGTCACTTCCTCATTCTGCCGGTCTGAAAATACTCTTTTTGCCTCTCTCTTCAGCAGTGTCCACTGGTTTAGGTATCGGTGTCTGCTCATGGGAGACAGAAGCAGAAGTGCTTTGTGGTGTGGAGCCAACTTGTGCATGTTGGGGGAAAGTCTCCTTGTGCAGCCCAGCCCATTTAACACCGGTGCTTGGCTTATTTTGGCCTCTGAGAAGAGCAGATGCTCCGGGTGACGTTACAGAGCTTCCTCCTTTGGGTGTAATGATGCAGGGCTGCGAAAGGGACCGGGCCACCCTCTCTAGCCAGCAGCTTGTATCTCTTCATCCTCCGCGCTCAGAGAAGTGCCTGCATGGCCATGCCATGAGCTTGAACCTGTGAACCGAGCTTGCACAAGCGCCAAGCCTTTCCCTGGGGTACTTTTTGGTTGAATCAGTCTCCTGACATAGCACACGTTGCAGTAGCAGGGCCCATAATGTCAGCCTCAGAGGAGAGCCAATAACTGGAAGTAGAGGGTACAGCTCTTGACATGGCAGCTCATAAATGATGCTGGATTAAGATGGTTTTATAATTAATTTTCTAATGATTATTCTTTGGCTTTCTTTAGAAATAAGCCATGTCAATGGGTGCTGGAAGATGTCACTTTGCTTGCATCTAACAAAAGCATTTTGTCACCATTGTGTTAATGTTCATTTAATTAAAAGTTACAATTATACAGATGAGTGCTGTGAAAATTCCCAGTGAGAGGCATTATCATCTGTTTCACTGGAATCATATTTCACTTATGCTCTTTTTTATGCGAAGATGTGATACCTTCCTTCTGCTGTCTCAGTTCTCAAATTTGCAAGGGTATATTGCTCTTTTATATTCTACTGAGCACATATACTTTCTACTTTTTTTTTTTTTTTTTTTTTTTTTAAGTGAAATTACTGGATTTTTCCTTTAGGAGTTCCAGTGCTTGGTTGAAAGTCCATCCCTAACAGGAAGCAGGACTCTTTGGAACATATTGCTTGGTTTTTAATATGTTTTTCCCTAAGTACGTTTGCTGTGATTCCATAGGGCAGCTCTCCAGAACTGGACTGCAAAGCATTTTCCTATTTCCTTCCATTTCTCTGCCAGCACTACCTTTGCTTCTGACTAATGCTAACCCATGTAATTATCTGCAACTTTCTCTCCTATGCTTTCCATTTCCACGGAACAGTATTATCCAATCCACGTGATTAGAGGCTTTATGAGCATAATATATGAGAAAGCTTTGAGGATTAAAAATGAGGTGGTAAACTAAAACACCACTGCATCAAATATAGTTGGTTTAAGCCTACAGAGTCTTTCCAAAATTTCCGTTAAAGTCAGTGAAGATTCCACTTTTGGATGTGCATCTTTCTTCTTAGAAGTCCATGTTCAAAGTTATCTCGATTGATGCCTGAAACACACAGTGCTGGGTGTCTGTGTTTCTGGATGTGAGAACTAAGGGTAGCCTATTTTTTCCTCAAAAGATGGAAAAGTTAGTTTGTATATAGAGATGTACGGCGAACCATATGAAGAGTCTTATCTGAATATGCTTTAAAATGACTGCATCCACGCTAGGTAATGCTCCTACTGATGGAGAGCATGCAAGAAGGAAGGGGAGTAGCGGATGCTGCATCTCAGATGGGCAGAGCTGTTTCTTGCTTTTATTTGTACTGAGCTTTAACACTTATCTATTTAATAGGGTAGTTATGGTATATATAACATATGTATAGCCTAGCACAAGCTATTTCTCAGTGCAGCAAATTTCTGCGGTTGGCCTCCGACGTTTGTTTTTGCTGTTAGTTCCTTCTGAGTTGCTCACGCTAAGGAATCGGCACCGAAGGGCAGGGCGACTCTGCAACAAGGGCAGTTTTTCCTATGAGAGTACAAATGTACTATATGTACCAAAAAGATATGTTATGGAATCTGACGATTTTATAGAATGGGTGGAAATATGAGTGTGAGGGGTATATACACTGAAGTAGCAGGAAATCATGGAGAAGGAGAGTCAAGCAAAATCATCTGTTGAAATAAGTGTTTGCCTCGCTCTTCAGGCATTTCTGTTGCTGTAGGCCATAAAGAGACAGGTGAAAAATCGGGCTCAAGGCTAAGGTTCTATTTTCACATATTAAATAGACATGTTGTTTTCTCTTTTGTATTTCTTACGCAAAACTTTATAACAAGCACAAACTTTTTGTTTCTATTACCTTCCTTTATCTTGTGTTGCATAGGAGAAGAATGCACTTATTCCGTTTTGACTAAGCTTTTAATGAAGCAGCCTCTTACCAAACTCAACAGGGTATCTTTCATATCCAAGAGAACCATTATGACCCACCAAAAATATATCTATATTTTTACCTATTAAAGTAATAACAAGAGTAATACATAGGCCCTGTTATGATCTTAAAAATCTCAGAAGAAAAATAACTTAATAATATTTTAAATAATAAACCCTCTATTTTTTTTTTAATAGATATCCTAAAGCCATTTGTGGCTTCATCCATGAGCTGGATGAAAAATTCTAACTGAGTAGTGGTGGGGTTTCTCGTTTGATAGAATTTCTGTGGACACATGGCATTTTCATTTTCTGCTTTTCTGAAGCGCATTTTTTTTTTTTTTTTTTTTTTTGAGCAGTCTCAGACTGATAATTTGTAGCCCATGTGGCTCAGAAAGAACATCAGAGTGGCAGTATTACAGTTTTGTTTAATAGCTTTTGTGAGAGAAAGGACTGCTGTGGCACAGTCTTCTCTCAGGCATGCACTTCAGTTCCACTTTTGGCACCTTGACAGTTAGTGTTGTGACTTCTGTTGAAGGTGAAAATAGCAAAGGGTATCTGAAAAATTTTATGGCTTTTATGTTGGGAATTAAAAGGATAAACAGAAATTCAGAATACGCACCATGCTATTTTACTTCATAAAAAAAACAGCTTTGCAGAGGAATAAAGAAATTCATGAGACAACACCTTTCTTAGTTGTTCCTGACTTTCTTTTGGGAAGAGGGAAAAAAAAAAGGCAGATCAGTTTAAGGCTAACCATAAACCAAGTAACCTTTGCTTTGTCCTGAACCACATCTACTAATTTTTACTTATTTGTTTTTCTCTCCCTTTTATTTTTCTTTCCTAGGCTGGAAGATTATCCTTTTGCCGTGTAAACAAGCACTGAGCTCTCTGAAGAGATTTCTCATCTGGGCTGTTTTGCTGGTGAGTTGCTTGAAGCCTGATGCTATAAAGATAATAGAATTAGCAGACCTAGCAGGCCTCATTATTTTTAATTACTCTTACTGCTGCTCACACACTACATGCAATTTGGTAAAGTCTGGCCTGGGGTGGCAGGGGGAACCCTGCATTTCTAAATGGTCCACCATATGTCAGATCCTGCTGTGAATTATGTGTTTTCAGTGATACTTATCTTTCTAATAATATACTAGACAAATCTCTGAATAACCAAACAAACAAAAAAGAGAGAGTGCGGGCCATAAATAGGTCACAATCTAAGTACCCTCAGCACACAGCTTGGTTCATTTATCAAAGCAAAATCAATTGTTATTATTAAACTATTATCATCATCCTTCCAGTGAGCTCATTTCAATTTAATCAATATTTCTAATTAGTCTACATCAAATACAGTTTTAAATTGAAACAACCTAGCTTAGTTTACACTAAATATGTATGCATATCTCTATGCATTCTTTTCATTCTGTCTTTATTAATAAGAGAATTCGTTACAAATAAATAAAAAGCAAGTGTATTTCAACTAATCTGGAAGTGGTTATACATCAGAGTTGGCAATGGATCATTACTGTGTGGAAATATTTCACTTCTATTTATGTGAAATATAGCTTGGAAACAGTCAGTGAGGTGTCAGTTCTCAGTGCACAGTGACATACTTTCTAGAGACAGCAGTGAGGTTTGAGTTCGAATGTCCCCATAAGTCAGCAATATTCAAGATCTGGACGTTTGTCCTAATTTACTAAAGCAAGGGAAGGCTTATCTCACTGTGGTTTCCTAAGCAGGAGTACCTGTGAGGGTATGTTTTCATGCATTATGTGTTTGTATACATGTTTGTATTTGTTTTGTATATGCCTTTCTTTGGAGATGGATGAACAAAAGATGATTGTGGGGGAAAAGCATAATTGCATTGCTCATGTGTGGAGGTTATTTTGAACTGTGAGGGCAGTAGGGCACAAACTGTACCATATGCTTCCAAATAATTCTGTTATAGTTTAACTGAATGTGACTACGAGGCCTTTTCTTTCTTTTAAAAATAATTATAATTCATAGTTTATTTACTCGTATGTCACAATCGGGCATCCAAACATTCCTCTTAGAAATGGGAAATCTCACAGTAACTGACCTCCCTTGGCTCCAGCCTGCTGGCTGTGCATGTGAACATTGTCTTTCTAGATGTGCACTTCCTGTGTCTGTCGCTTTGGCAAGCTGTTTTATCTCTATTGACCCCAATATTTCTTCCAGTTTGTAATCTAATGTCAGCTGGAATTTTCAGGAACAGTCAGAATGGTGCCCTCGTAAAATAATGTCAGGAGATTTAAAAGCATAAAGTCAATGCTACCATTATTGTAATAAGAATTCAAGTGCAAATAATTTTATGAGAATGTTTTGCTCACATCTGTACTGTCCAGGTGTACAGTTGGTGTTTGTATGTGGAGTGTGAAGGATAATGTAGTTCCTATTTTCCTGTAGAAAGAGGTAGAGTAACTAAATGACTCAAGACCATGGTTAACTCTCTTTCCAAAGTGTCCTTATTCCCTTCTTTCCTTGGAATTTGCACAAACAGTAGTTGTCTCATGTCTCTTGTTCACTGCATATACGTGTGCTGTCTCTTTTCCAAGGCCAGGATCACAAAGGTCCAAGAAGAGCATTAGAGCATTTGTGTTTTCCTTAGCACAGGAGAGCTTCCTACCCTAACTGGCTTAATTCCTTTGGATGCCTGTGAAATACACTGGTGAGATTATCATTTTACAGCTACATGGATTATCCTGTATGATGAAATTATACATTGGAGTTGATAATTTTATTCATATAAGTATTAAACAAAATACATCATTCAGTGTTAACTATCTGGTATTCTTCCTAAGAGAACTGATTGAAGTACTTTTTGAATAATATTTCTGTCCCAGGAGTCCTGTGAGTTAAAGAACTGAATTTTTCCACAGATGGTGAAACTGATGCCCTGGATTATTATGGTTGAGACATGAGATGCCCTTCTGTCAGAGAATTGCACTGGAATTTCCCTGTGGAATTCCTTTAGGCTGCTTTACAAATCCCATCTCAATAATAGACTCGTGATAACTCAAAAGTTAATGGAGGAGCTGGAAGGAGAATCATGAGTCTTTACCGACATCTTATCTGAGACATAATTATTTGTGGAATTTTGTCTGAAGTCAGAATGAGCTTTGCGAACTTTAAAGCTGAACAAAACGATAAATGCACAGTTATGCTTCTGAATAGTTTTTGTAATATATTTGAAAGAACCTCTTTCTGGTTTTCCGTTTTCTCTTTTTTTTCCCGACTCTTTTAAAGGCTTCATAAAGTTCTCAAAAACACTTCTGTATGTTGTATAAAGCATTTTTTTGTAACAATAACTTTGGATTTCTAGTGCCTAAATTTCCTCTAGGATCCTAAGTTTTATTTCTTAAAACATGAGTGCTTTAGAGCCTTTTCTTTGTCTGTAGAGCTGAAATGTGGCATTTTCTCCTGTGGTCGCATTTTGTGATTTGGAAAATCATAGTTTTTGAGGGGTTAAACTAATCTTAGCACTCCCAACTCTAGTGAGCTAAATATATTCTCCATAAAAATTGATCATGATGTTCCTTAAATCACAGAAAGGCTGTTTTGCGTGTTTTCAATATACTCTTTAAACTGTTTTGTGTATTTTAATGATCAGTAATGAGTTATGGTATACACACCAGCATTGAGCAAAAACTCCCAAAACCTTCCCAAAATATAAGGAGCCTTTGTAAGGACAGGACGAGCTCACAGGTTCCAACTTCAGCCTTAGGCTTTTAACCGTGGCTCGGGTAGTTCTGCATCCGCTCAGCAGCAGATTCCTGCTAGCCCATTTCTTGATTCTTTGATGCTGTGGCTGAGATGAGATGACCCCCGTGACAGACGAGGGCTACGAGGTTTGCGGTGTTTGTAGCACTGCACGGTGCTCTCTGGCCGGTCACCCGGGTTGCTCACTCGAGCAACTCGACACCTGCAAGTTGACAAAGTGTTTTCCTGCGGCTGGAGGCGCTTTTTGCCTCTGCTCAGTCCCTTTGGCTCTTTGCTCTTTATCAGGGATTTCCTTAGCACAGGTGACTTAATCAAATGGAGCCAACATCAAAGCCTGTGTTCACTTGCTGATTTTTATATTAGTAGCTGTTTGTATCATAGCTGTGCAAGATAAGCCCTTTACATCTCTCTCTATATATGGATCTTAAAGCATGCTCAGAAGAAGGGCTAATATAATTTTCCTGACTGATGTGACTATGGAATTGGGTAGATACGGCAATAAAGGCAGTGATGCGCAAGCACCTTTGAAAAATAGGCTTCACATGTCAAAAAAAAAAAAAAAAAAAAAACAGTTTCTGGGTTACTCATCAGGTTTCCATCTTAACAGCCAGTTCAGACAAGCAGATGCTGGAACCAGTAGCGTCATGATGCACTTGTCACAACATTCAGGACTAGGTATGTCTCTGGTCATCGTGGACAAGGTCTGTGCACAGACATGCTGCTCAGCCCAGCTATTTATCAAATAGGTGGACACAGCCAGAGGTTGCATGGACACGTGGTGATGCATAATATGGACAGGGGCTGGTTTACGTGGTGCAGGGGCAGGGAGAGCATGTAGCAAAGTTTCAATGCCTCACGTGAGGTATATTTTTAGTGTAGCCATCCACTGTCACAGCTGAATATAACCCCAGCTCAGTGGATGGAGTTTTATGAAGTTTTGTTTTAGGTTCTAAATAGAAAAATGCTAGAAGAAACATAGAGGCTAAGCCTATAAAAATTATTTTTAAAAGGCTTTACAAGACATGAGTATCTGTTCATCTCTTTGCTTCTGCAGTTTTTCTTACAGTTTTGGGGATGTTGAGATTATTTTAAGAGCATCCTGAGTCTGAAAGGAAGAAATTTAAATAGAGATTTATATGTTCATTTAAGTCTTAGGTTAATTAAAGGTCAATATTTTGGGAGGGATTAAGAAATGAGTAGTTTCAATGGGACAAACCTCAAAGAGATTTCAGTGATTTATCCATCCATGTGCATTTGTGTGTGCATATGAAGTATGGTACTTAAACACCTATTACAGAAAACAGCACACTTGGGATTTGGATAATAGATCACTTTAATGTATGAATAGGTTACATTCCTGACTACTAGTTGGGGAAGTATTAGTTCATACGATAAGGAGAATAAAGTAAATTGCCAAGAAGACTTATAGGATTGCAATTCAATGAAAGTATTGATTAAAAGAGGAGGAACTCCATTTTTATAAACTTAATCAACAGTGATGTTTGATATTCAGCTACTAGTCTGTAAAGCAGAAATAGAAGCTTAAAAGCCTGTGGGGAAAAACAAGCAAGCAATATTCATGTGATCTTTAAAAAAGAATCCTACAAAAACACTAATGTAGTTTTCCAGAAGATTCAAATGATAGAGAAGTAAACAAGTGCAGAGAGAAAATTAGCCTTCCTTTGGCTTTGTTTTGGTCTTGTTTGTTTGTTTGCTTTTTTCTTGCTATGCAGCTTCTTGACTGGAAATGCAATTTTTACAAGCATTTCCTATATTTAGAAATATCTGACTTATTTTATTATGCTAATATTCCGCTAGGGTGCTATATTTCCATAGTAATCATCTGATAATCAGTTCCACAAAGCGGTAGGTTGCTGAGATGCATTTAGAGTGTCAAGTGCCTTGGCCCAGAGTCAGCGCCGGGGGAGCTCTGCTCTGCGCTGCGCAGGTGCCACTTGTGTCACAGCCATTAGGCGAGAAACCCAAATCAATCGCGCTGTGTCCTTGCAAGCCGGCAAACACAGCAGGCACCTCAGCAGGAAAAAAGGCACCGTTCGCACATGGCGAGTGTTTATAAAGAGCTGGCCGGAGTCTGAAGGCAGCTTTAAAGAACCTGTGTCGCTGGTTGTGTCTTAGAGCTGTCATGTTTTCATCTAGTGCCACCACTCAGAATTTCTCTGCTGCAATTTTATAGTTTGTTTAAAGAGATCTGTCAGTGATTGCCAGATAATTGTTTAGCTAAATCAGTTTTTACAGTGGTATCAGAGAGGAGGTTCCTCAGAATATGGGCTATGACTTTGGATTTAAAATTAAGAAGTGTGCTGCCTCCTCGATGTTTAATCCATGGCAATGTCAGTTGGCTCAGTGGAATTATTTCTGACTAACACACAAGTGAAATTGCCCCAGAGACTCTTAAAGGTCTCATATTCCTTTCCTGTGATTCTTCCTTCTTTTCTGAAGGGTTATTATTGCACCAGTGCTAAGTTTTCTAGCAGATTTCCTGACACCTCTGAAAACTTGGTTGGAATCTGCAACACGGCTTCTCAAAGTAGTTTCTCACCCTTGGAATGGATATTTTGTTGTTGTTGTTATCTGATGCACCAGAAGAATATATGCACACAAATAGCAGAGCGAGGCTGGGGCAGCATCACTGCTTTGTCCCTCTACTGCTACTGAGCAGCAGCTGTCGCCTTCAGCGCGAACCGTTTTGTCCCGGGAAGTGTGAAGGCAGCATTCCCCGTCCAGGAGCTGCAACGCTACAGCCTGTCGCCCTCCAACTGAGGAGGAGGGAGTGATGGCTCGTCGGACAGTCAGCATTTTGTTTGCACCCCGTTTGCAGTTTGAGAAAATGTCTTTTTGACTGTGCGGCAGTCTTCTACCAAAGCCTTCAGCATACAAAGTTCAGTGTTTGTTTATTTATTTATTTAACTATATAAAATAGAAATAACAAATTTTATCCATATGTTTTCTTGTTCATATGATTTTGAGTAATCTGTGTTTCTGCACGTACAGATATATACATAGATTTCAGTTTCTGCTCTTCAGAGGTGAGCCTGTAAAGGAAAATAAAAGAGCTTTAATAGATGTTTAATAGCAGTGATGAGAATTACATGTCTAGTCTGTAATCTTCAGTGTGTCTATAAAGAAGGTTTATTTAGTGTTTCTGGTATTGCTGGCTTGCATAACTATTTAGCCTTCTGATAAACTATTTCTGATTAATACAGTGTAATCTAGCAAAGCAAGTTTGCCTGGATTTCAAAATGTTCTTTTTCTTTTCATAGCAAAGAAATCCTAGTAATTTTAATTATTTTCTGTTTCCCAGGAATATATCAGGCTTTGCAGGTGTGGGATAAAACAGGTCCTTGCATCAAAGATCTGTGATTTAAGTGTTTTTATATTTTCAGATGTATGCTTCTCAGAAATGGTTCCAAAGTAAGGCATTTTAAACTTTCGTTGCAAATACAGCTGGGGGCTTGCTCAGATTCAACTTATTTCTGATAGAATTTTCTCTAGGGTGAGTTCAGAAAGTGGGGAGGCCCAGGAGAATATGCATCTTTTTGCCTGTCTTAAGTTTTGTCACTGCATCCAGCCGAGTGGCGCCTCCATCGTTGAGGTGATCAGCCGAGCTTGTTGCGACTCCACTGGTGATTTCATATGTGCCCTTAATGGCCCATCCTTGGGCCACGTGGGCTTCCACCAGGGAGGGCAGAGCAAGCCAGATTCAGTAGTGTCCTATAAGAGCACCTAATATGCTCGAGAAGTCGGATAGGGAAAAAAAACATGGAGCCCCTCACCAAGATACTTGTTTTCTGTTGTGGCAGTGAATCATGGACCTGCCATCACATACTGTCTGATCTCGCCCTTTCAGAGTACATGCCATTAATGAACATTGTCATGACACAAAATCAAAGCTAATTTCATTTTGTAAGGGACACCCGCAGCTGTGACTCTTGCTGTAAATATGATCGTGTTGTTTTTCTGTCATAATGATGGGTAGACACATGTAATGTTAATAAGATAGTTATCATCTCTAGCAATGATAAGTGAGAACAAGGTCAACCTGTATTGTGTAAAGCTGAGAGTTTGTGCTGGAATAGGCTGGCAGGGAAGTTTATAGTTATTCATCATACTAAGACAGTTCCCAGACCAGCTGCGTTGTTTTTTGGCTGATTAATTTGGAATAGTTGGATTAGGTGTTTAAAAAGCCTAAAATCAATATTATGGATTATGAAGGAAGCCTGCTATAATGCGTTTTCTGCAGCAAAACAGAAGGATAACTCTGGAACAAGGGCCATACACAGAATTTATCAGTGCACTTCAGGGTTTTTTTATTTTTTTTTTGGTGTCAGGTCCTCTGCACATAGTCAATGGCAAGTGCAGGGCCTGGATCTGTGTGATAAGATGGTGCTGTTATTAATTGCCCATGAAATGTGATAAAGGGAATTTATCCTCCTCAGTTCTCAATTGAGTTTATCCACTTCTAAAATCTCCTGTCATCAGAGAGCTTATTATTATATCACAGTGTAGACTAGAGGACAGAAAGTTGAAATGAGCAACTGCTCCCAGGATCCCACAGTCACATCTGGCCACTAATTCTTCTTCGTATTTATTTATTTATCTGTGACAAACCTACAGGGGGAAAGTCTTTCTTTTCCTGAGCAAAACTTGTTTCTATGTTGTATGGCAGTTATTACCAATAACTGCATGAATTAGGGATTAACATAACGGAAAATCCTTGCTCTTTCCCTGGTGCTTTTGTAGAGCGAATTTTGAAATCCTGCTTATATTTGGCAGATTTGCACTCTACTTTGAGAGCAAGCTCTTTTTTCCTGTTGTTTTTCCTGAAGATGACTTTTTTTATGTGATCTGCCATTTATGTGATCATGCATAAAGGCTAAAGCCTAGGTCAGTTAATAACTTTGCTTTGTTTTGAGTATGTGCATAGTGTTTGCTGAAGTGAGAAAGATTCTTCTGGTCTACTTGCAAGCTTTAAATTTAAAGCTCTGTGCCAGAACACTGCAGTTCTTTCAATAACAATATTGGTATTGGCTGAGTTATTCTATACTGTAAGTGCAGTCTATACTGCATCAAGTATAGCATTCAAGTCTAGGCCAGTATCAGCTATATAGTGATCTAAAGTTTAAGTGTGCAAAACCATGATCAGAATTCTCTCTATATAAATAATTTATGGCAAAATTTAGACCTGCAATCTAAGAGACTGCAATCTAAGAGACGTTATGTTTCCTCTAAGAATAATGACATTTTCATAAAAATTCCTTTTGACAGAAAAATAGCACACTTTAAACATATAAATGGGAAAACTTTCTTCAAAAAGAAAAAAAGAAAAATGCTTATTTTAAAATCTTAGGGTTTTTTTTAGTTCACTCCTGTGTTGCTTTCTTACTTGCAGGTTACTGGCTGAAACAGGGAACTGTAGAAACAGTTGGTTTTGTTCATTCCCTAATTACAGGACATGTATCCTTTTCCCTGGCAAATGTATCCCACCCTCAGGTTTGATTTCAAAACTATTGCAACCTCTCACAGAACATGAAAGTTCAGTATTTCAACAAGTTAGAATCAAGCCTTTTAATCACAAGCCATTCTTATTTTGTGTATATTGATAAAAATGAAAAATAGCATTTGGCACCCCAAAAAAAGAGGGGAGGAGAAAAAGA